GAGGGATGGCTATCCTGTCCAACGTCTTCTGTCAAGTTCTGTCAAAAAAACATGCTTGTGAGAGAGACACAAGTGTACAGTGCACATTCACACATACACACAAAAACAAAAAGCACACACACACACAGCTAATATGTATTTACCAGCCTGTGCAAGGTGTGGTGGATCTTATGGATGCTGGCCAGTGTAGTCAAGTGGGAATTCAGCTGAAAATCTACATCCACAAAAAAAAATAATAATTGAAGATGACATCAAAAAATGTAGACTAAAGCACCGTACACAAGCCTCTGCTCTTAATCATGTCTGGTAAAAGCACAAGGGTACGAGAAGGTGACATGATCACGGCACCAGCAACCACAACCTCGGATATAAACTCAGTAATCAACATACATGGGCTCCATGGAGCACACATTACTTTCGCCTGTTTTCTAGTTCAAGGGTTTCAGAAAATATCCCACACAGATGAGGGAGTGACACTCATTGCTCACTGCATTCCTCGAAAGACGTGGAAACTCGAAAAATACTCGATCATGTATGCTACCTTGTTGCCAAACGACCTCTTTGCATTCCCGTTCACAAGCTGTCACCGAATACCGATGCTTTTAATTTATTTCTAGAGGCCAAAACCAGACAAACCAACACACACAGCCGAGCAGATAGCATTAGCTGCATACCTAAAATAGCAGTGCAGACGCGCAACTTGCACAGAGTTTACAAAGTATCTAGAGAGTTGGGCGTATGGGCGTTGTAGTCCATTTCCTCTAACGAGGCCGTTAAAAGCCCAGCTCAGTGTGGGATACTAAACTACAATTCCCATAACCTTAACGAATAACTATTTCTTTCAGACCCCTCTACCCCCCAACATTTACCCCAACTGATTGAATGCATTTTACGTTGTTTTAAAAAAATAAACATTAAATGCCTGTTGGTGCAAGCGCGTTGCGCAGACGTTTTGCAGCAGTTCATGTAGGTGCCGCAAAACCCGACAGCACTGCTGCGGCAGGCAATGAAAGATGTTTTACACAACTGCGTCACAATTTTCATTCTCTGTAACAGTCCGCAGTTGACCAGAAAATTGACCGATTTACAGTGAAATCACGTTGATCCCAAGTTTGAGCCGTAACGCGCCCCAAACCAGCAGTAACCATGAACATAAAGACCACAACGCGCCGGATTACCATCGAAAACCATCTGAATTTAAGTAACGTCGGCGGCATTTAACCGAGCACTGCAAACACAACACGAAATATTAACTTCAGAAAAACTGCCGTGTCAATAGTGAGCTCCTACATGTGCAAAACAACTGAAATTACACTAGCTATCCTTCCTTTGTTGTCGCCCAAGACAGCACTGCCAAATACAAAGAGACCAGCAAAAAGCACGGAATCCATCAAATCCCACAGAACCACGGCACAAAAGTAGACGTAGAAACACAACGCCTCTCTTTGCTTCTTCCCGACACATGTTACAGCATCAGTGAAAGGTCGCAATTAGATGCAGAAAAGCCTCAGTAACGTTACTACTTACTTGCCGCATCAGAGTGCATTTTTATGAAACATACAACTGTCTGTGGGAAGTCCGCAGACCGGCCAATAGGCGGGCCTTGTCAACGTTAACCACGCCCGCGGAAGATGATTGGGCCTCAAATTGGTTTGTCTCCGCCTTTGCTTGCTTTCGATTAGCTTTTTGAAATGTCATGTCAAGAGAAGGCGGAAATAGAAATAGGCCCCGCCTATTCCCGAATGTGATTGGTCAGAGTTCCCAAACAGGCCGCGCTATCAGCACGTCAATCACCAGAATTTCCTCGTGCAAGCCTGAAACCAGCCCACGATGAAATCTGATTGGTCGGCTTAGTTATAAGTTAACCGCCCAGCGTAATCGATGTTTGGGTGCGTTTAATGTCAACGCAGGCAGTGGGAGGTAGGTGGCGGTGCGTTTACCGGTAAGAGCTACGGTTCGTTTAGCCAACTGAAGTCCACAGTGTTTATCTCCTCTGTCCAGTCGGTAGAGGTCGGAAGAAGTCCGGGATATTCGTAAAAGTCGTGTCCCACATAATTACTGAGTTACCCGGCAAGTTTGGCAACCGTGAGCCCTTTTTGTCAGGTGACTGGTAATGCTAGTTATCACACAAATCAAACGGATACAAATGCAGCTACAGTGTTGGCCCTAAAGTTGTTGTTTTTTCCTAATATGAAGTGATTCATGGGACTCAGTGTAAGTGGTTAGCTAGTCAACTGCACTGGATACGTGGCTGAGTGGAGACAAGCTAACCAGTCCAGTAAAATCACCAGCACCCATAGGTACCACAATTCATTGTAAATTCATTTTTACCTTCAAAGTGGAGCTGCCTGCTGAGTTGACCACTGCAATGACTCCTGTCTGTGTCCTGACTTCCAGCTGTATTACTATTTCAACTGTACTTGTTGGTGCCTGCACCAGCAGACCTACTGTTTGCTTTTGTGATGTCAATGCTGCTCAGCAGATAAGTACATTTACTCAGCTTCTCTACTCAAGTACAATTTTGAGGTACTTTCCTTGACATTGGATTTGACTTAACTACATTTATGTGGCAGTTTTAATTGGTAGTTAAGATTTTACATACAAGAAGACCATGATTTGATGAAATATGATGAATTTTGCAGTAAGAACTGACTTAAACATTGACTTTGCCATCCATAGTTCTGTAGTTGTTTTTTTTTTTTTTTTAAAGTCAGGTAATTTGTTACAGTGATTAATACTGTAATTTCTTAACCTTAACATTAATGTCAGATTAATTTGTAATAAGTAATATTGTAAAGTCTTAAGGTTAATATTTAAATAATTGGAGTACATTTGCATTATAATTACATTAGAGTATTAACCTTAATGTGCAAATGAGGCATTGCATATCTTTAAAAGTCTCTAATTTGCATTCATTTCAATAACATGAGTCTGTGCACTGGATGAAGCCAGTTTTGTTAATATATATTAAAGCCAAACGTTTTTACAGGGAAGATTTTTAATCTCTCTTTTGATTACTTTAAAAATCATACAATAAATACAGTCAAAAGCCAAAAAGTGATATATTTTTGACAAGTTTTTATGAATAAAATGGTCTGTAAATCAGGCTGTGACTAAATATAAGAACAAACCTTTCATTAAAAACCTTCCAAAACCTAGTGTAGAAGTTTTGAAGTATGAAAGCGCAACTCAAGTAGATATTTCTGCCCCAGAGTAGGAGGAAAAACCTCATTTTGAAAAATGACATATATATATTTATATATAATTATACTTTTTTTTTTTTGAAAACCACTATTAACTGGTAAATATTTAAGCAAATGGATATCAACATGAAGCCTCCCAATTTTATTACTTGTATTGCAATAATTTAAAATCATTAAAACAACTGTCCTGATTTTGTTGTGTTCTATTTTATACACACCGTTAGCCACAGCATTAAAACCCCTGACAGGTAAACTTTGAAACTTTAACCCTTTTCAGGACTTTCATGTTGCCATACGTAGAAGGTCTTTCAGAGTCCATTGGACCCCAAGAAAGAATATGTGCAAAATATTTGTCGGTATTCATTATAGACTTTTAAACTATGTTAGATACATTTTCTGATAAGTTGATGTATTTTTGGTTCCAAATGCATCACAAATATCTGTCATTTTATATATATTTTTTTAAAAACTTCAAAAATAAAAAACAATACCTGTCCCCTAAACCAAATGGCCTGGGGTCCAAAGACCCCAAAAGTCCTGAATAGGGTTAAAGACTCCCTCCAAGGAAATCCAAGTTTTTAGCTCATTAACATGTCCATATGGTGCTGTTTGTATGCCAGAAGACATTTAATGAATGAAATAAGCAGTCAACACCATGGCTGAGCAGTTATACCTTGAAATAGCAGCATACTGATGCTGTACAAATCTCTGTTTTCCTCTTGAACAGTGTCACTGCTTCAGAATGGCTGACTTTTGACACTAGTTTTTCTGTATGTGACAATTCTTGGAATTATTGCTGTTAGAGTCGTTTGGAAATATATGTTATTTAGTTCATACTTGGTAGTGAAATAAACAGATCAATTGTCACGTTAATGCATTTTGCTGTACAGTTAAATGAGACCTTGTTCCTTAATTGTAGCAGCCTTGGTAATTCTGTTCAAGGGTTTATTTTAGTAAAGTTGGTGAATCTGTGCCAGTATTAGGGACGCAGTGGTCCTGAAATCACTGCACTTTTATTAGTGGTAATAAAGCACTCTTTGACTTAACTTATAATAGCCATAAAACAGTGACCTATAAAGAGAACCAGTCCTTGACCTTTGGATGGAAAGAGGGTTTTTCTGTTTAAGTAAGACAGTACTCTGTCTTCCCTGCCTAATGAGGCAAGTTACAAAGATTCAGTGGTTCTAATATATTTTCATGTATTGTTTAAAATGTTGTCAGCAAAGTTAGATTCATGTGAGATTAGAGAATATTTCTGCATTAGTAAAATAACTATGTAGGATTTTAGGCAAAATTGATGAACTTTCTGTTCAATGAATGCAGTCGGCCTATATGCATACGTGTCATGCATAAATAAGTTTTAACATTCAGTTGTACTTTGTTTGCTCAGCCCTCCCCAAAGCATGCAAACTACCTATTGTGAAGCTATTTTAACCAGAAAAACTGATTGATTGCTTCTATTTGATGTAAGCTTTCGCACATGTCAGTAATATTTTATCGTTGCCCGCACTTATTTCTGCTAAACAACCATATGAAAGCACTCTAAATAAAGGTGTGTCAAACTTGAAGGTGTAAATTGTGTACAGAGGTCGATCTAAACTGGAACACTGTGCTCTACAATGATGTGACAGTTTTTAAAATATGCATTATGCAGATATATTTTTTCCTGCGCAATTCTAATCTTAATAGATGATTGTTATCCAGTTCTGTGCTTATTTCAGGTTGAAACAGCTCCAAATGGACAGGGCATCAAAAATTTTTTTTTTTTAAAGGAGGGTGGAGTCAAAGTCGTAGTCCAGGGAGGAGGCGTTACAGAGAGTAGGATTTGAGGCACCGTGAGAGACAAAATATCAGCACAACTTCATAAACAACTGCTGCAATCACCTGCATCATGAGTTCTGAACCAAGTGAACAAGCTACGACAGTGAAGGTGGAGGACGGGGCAGCTGCTGCTACTCGTGCAGCTCCAGGAAATAGGGAATGGCAGGTAGAGGAAACAGATGATTTGCACTGAACTGTGTGGGTTTCGACATGACACCTTCTCTGTCCTCTGTGACTTACAGTGCCCTTTCAGTGATAATCACATCCACAGAGACGATTTGAGAAAGGTTTGGAGAGAATGCCAGGAGGAAAGCTTCTGGCAAAGAGGTAGGACACCCTTATACTTCTCTTTGATTTTGTAGCAGCTTGGGAGGCCACCAAATCTGTCAGTCTGACATGAGTGTGTTCTTTGTTATGGAGGTCTTTTGGAATAGAAGCAGTAGAGTAGGATTCATCTATCAATCTGCTGTTCACTTAATGCTGTGTTTACATTCTTTTCTGTGGAATCTCGAAAACACTCCCATATGTGCACAGAGCAGTCACTATTACTGACACTTTACAATTGCTTTACTATCTCGATCATGCTTGCCGCATATTTATTTATGCTTGTTTCTTTTCATGTTTGTAGTGAATCAGTGAACTTTTACAACCCGACAGGTGTGACTGACCTTAGGTTGGGTTGGGATTGGCTGGGAGTGTCCTGAGGTGACCTCAAGATTAAACCTATAGCCCAAACCTAAAAGGAAAAGAACCTGCCCAAACAAGTGTAACAAAGCAAACAAGAGATTTAGGATGTTTGAGTTATGCACACCCACAAAGTTCTAACACAACTGTCAGAAAAGAGCCACTACAGCCAAAGTGAAAGAAGCTGCTGTGTACGGCGCACACAACAGAAAGTACTGTGGCTAGAGGAGGTGAGCAGTGGGTGGCTCGGCTGATCAGCTGACATTAAGAGTTCACAAACTGAAAATCTGTTTTATGTGACAACATTTTATTGCCTTGAACCTCCTGCTTGGTGCTTCCATTCACTGCCAGCCATGCAGCTGCTGCTCATGTTCTCTCATCGGGCAGCTATGTAAACACGAAAAGGCAGCAATCAGTACTTCCTGTGTTCATCCTTTCCCTCGAATTCAGCAGACATATTCAGTCTCACTACTTCACAGGTCAAAGTTCAGTCAGAACTCAAAGTATAGATTACAGGAAGTGCATGGTACATCTTTAGCATTCATTTAGCAGGGACTTAAAATTTTAGCACTCAAAGTAAAAAGTGAACAATAAATCTTCTTTTCCCTATTTCGTGTTTTCCTCTTTTGACAGAAAGTAGCACAGAGAACCTTACTTTATTGTGATTTCACTGAAATATGTCTCCACATGTCTGTCACTGTATGGAAGTGATACAACTCCAGTTTGTTTTATTTCTATATTTAGCTCTTCCCCTCTCCCTGGGTAGCATGGCTGTCACTGGGGGTCTCATCTACAAAGGTAAAGCACTGACATTTAAACTCCATTCTTCCATCATATCATAATGACACAGGGGAAGCAGTTCTTTCTGTAGGTATCACATTTGATGTATGCTAATAAAACTTTCCACACAGGTGTTTGGAAAACATCAAAGGTTCTTGGTCCCATTCCAAAACTAGCAGGTACAGTGTAATGGACTTCAGTTTCTAAGTGTCTATGCATTCATGAGTCTCTGACTGGGACTGCCTTTCTTCAGCTGCGGGGATCTTGGGTTATGCAGTGGGGAAAGCATCCTATGTTGGAACTTGCCGAAGCAAGTTTAAGGAGCTCGGCATTCAGGATGGACCGGGATTTGGCCCCTGGTCTATGGGAGATCGTTTTGGTCCTGGACGCAGGTAGGAAAAATATAAAAGTATGTTTATATTACATGATAATATGTGATCTATGCTTTTATCATGCTGATTGCTAATGTGCACAGATTCTGTTAGGAGCAGGGTCAGTTATCAGAAGAGTCTTAAGTTCAGACCTTAACATAAAGCTAAACTTAATCAAAAATCACTTTTTGTTATATTTACCAAAGAAAAATGATAAACTGTCAAAAGATTATTCTTATTCATGGATTTGCTACTTCTCTTGACCACCAGTGTTACACTACAAGCCAATCTAAGAAGGAAAATATTGTTGTGCTGCTCCTCATCTGGTCAACAACAATAAAATAATATATTTAAAAATGCAGCATGTCATTTTTCTTTCTATGACCTGTTTTTTTCCCCACTCTTTGCATGATGCATTTCTTTTACCTTTGTGTGCCACTTACCACAGTGTTATCTCTACAGAGGCTGCCATCATATGTGTGAAGAATGTAAGAAAAAAGCTCAAGCAGCACCTGAAAAACAAGTTTAAAGGCAGAGGTAAACAGATCATACACAAACAGCGCTGTGAAAACATACAGCATGCGCAGATCTGGTGCCATTTTAAACCAATTAGCGCCAAAACTTCTTGCAAACATGAAGAAATGCCAATTAAATGTGATACATGCTACAGTATGTATGGATGTCGCTTTTCAGTGCCACACACATGTTAAAATAGCCTGAATGTTCATGAAATTCCCTCTCAATTTTCAGACTCGTGGGAAACACCGAAGGATCAGCTGCCAGCGTCTATCTGTCACTTTCAAAATGCCTATTTCTTAAATGCTATAAACCCTGAATATATTGTAATTTGTCTGAAGTATTTTTTCTTCTGTTCACTAAATTTCCACCAGGGGGAGGAACTGTCCTTTCAATAACAGGATGGGCAGGAGAGTGGTTTTTAGCTGTATCAGCACCAAGCAGAAAAAATATTCCCTTAAATTTAAATCAAAATATTCCCTTAAATTTAAATCAATTTCCAGTCATATCATACATCATGAGTAGAACGGCTTTAGCATTTTCCATATACAACCAACAGCAGAAACAACCGAGTTTCAGCTGATCAGATGTAGGACTGTGCCACTTTTCTACCTTCTCTAATATTACAGTATGATAGCTGAATGCAGCAGAGACAACCGATTATGCTGGAACTGAGATTTTATCACAGTCTATATTTAAACTAATATGATCTTGAACATTGTCAATCTCAGTATTGTAGTCTGGCTAAACTTTGACAACATCAGAACTATTGAGGCCAACAAAGTAAAATTGATATTGTGAACCTATGTGCAATATATATCGTGCCAGTGTTCACTGAAAATACCATTTAAAGAACATAACACACAACAAACTTTGCTGGATGGGCAAAAATAAGAGAACACAAACTCTGGTGCATTTCAAGGACAGGACCAAAGGACAAGTAGTGGTGAAAAAAATGACTGTCCCAGTTTTTATGAAGAGAAGATCTTGGGTTAGGGTTAGGGTCTGATTTTAAACATAAAAATCCTTTATTAATATGCACATAAACCACCATGTTTCGACTCAGAAATATAAGAAGAAAAATTGGCAGAAACAAGACAAGGAGGAGAAGACGCATGCTCGTGTTTATATACTGCAGCTGCTAATTGTCTGAAAAGGTTCAAGTGCTGTATATCGGCTCACTCAAGTTGAGAGAATTTTCAGTGAGAATTAAATGCAATTTCAGAGCAACTGAATTTAGTTTCAAATGATTACATTTGGTCTCAAGTTTATTAAAATATAGTTTCAGTTTATTATATTGAAATTTTTATTGCAGTTATTCAGGTTGAGAAATTCAAATTCAAATTGTGAGATTCAAAGTCAATTTTATTTTCCAATTGTTCAAGCTGAGCAATACAAATTAGAATAAAAATGATTGAAATTCAGCTTCTGATGGCAAGCCAAAGTTATTAGCATAGCTATCAGCCGACCTCCAGCTGAGGCAAGTGCATTGTCATCCAGTGATGACAGATAAAACATAATTGTCTTGTATCTATAAGTTTGGCCACACTTTAACCTTTACAACAAAACATTTAGTGCATTGTAAATAAGACTCTATAATAAAGTTGGAAGCAGATATAAGATCATTTTATGAACATTTTAAAACTATTTAAACAGATGTTTAATGATTAATGATGAACTGTTGTAATCATATTTAATGTAAATGATGGCGATGCTTCATAGGATGAGTTACAGGTATCAACATTAATCAAATTGCAATGACATAATAGTGCATTATTAACTAGTTATAGAGCTTCCACATCTATATGGGGCTGGAATGTGTTCCTGTTAGCTCTAAACTGTGATTATGAATTTAAGAGCATGGTTTATCACCACTTTTTAGCACTTCAACTGTAATTCTTTTAAGTGCTTCGCAAAATACCTGATATACCCGCCTATCCGTGCAGATGTCGGTGTACGCCTGTCAAAATAAAAAGCAGACGCATGTGAATATCACCCGCCCCTAAAAGACGTCATCCAATCAACAGGTCGTTTTTTCAAGATTGCCACCAATTTCATGCAATAAGAAAGCGCTAATCTATGTAGGCGGAAACCATTACAGCCAATGACAGTAAAGGGGGCGGGACAAACAGGCTGCCGTCCGCTCTGACAGTGGCCCTCTTCCAACGCCGAAACAGACCGAGAAAAAAAAAAATCACACCACTACGCAAATCCTTCCAATGGAGGAGGGCCAGGACGTTGAAGCTTGTTCGGCAAATGAAAAGAACGTCTGCAAGCTAGCCACCTAGCTCAACTAAAGGGAGAAGACACAAAAGTTGTGAGTAACGTCAGCTTTACGAATAGTGAAGTAAATGAGGGCACGGTGGCTGCTATCTAGTGTAGTTAACGTCGGCTTACACCAAGTTCCGTTATTAACTTTGTCGTTGAGGTTAGCTTTCCAACTGTGGTACCAAAACTGACTGTCGTAGCATGCTAAAGAAGGAGTTTGGCTGCACTGCTAGTGTGAGTTAATCGCCTGCCTACCTTGCAAGTTAAACCGTTAGCACAGACCAGATTCTTGGTGTCATTAGTTTTATCGCTGCTAGGTAGCTAGCCGGGCTGCTACAATATTAGCACGGTGAACGTTAACTTATAGTTGACAACTGGCTGGTCAGCTAAGTTGCTGCTGCTAGCTAGCCTGCTGCTCAACATTAGCAGTTTCCTCGATACAGTATTAACACCTGGCTAGTTGCTAACTAAATGCTACCATGAAGCTTATTCTATCATACATGAGCATGTGTTAACGTAATCACTTCTAGTTGTACTTATAGTTTTGTCGTGGTAATGACTATGTTTCGTATTAGACAACAATATTGTTGACAAACTTATTTGATATGTTTACCTGCAATCAGTGCTGTTCGATATAGCTGAAAAGTTGATCACGATTCAGATGTTTTTTTTCAGTCGTTGTCGATAATTACTGGCAAAATGTTATTACCTATTTTTGATAAGGACCAGGGGGAAAAAGATTTAACCACTTTACTTTGAATTAACAATTTAAGCCTATTTACCAAGCTACACTGGTAGTGATATGTTAACACACCTGTAAAACCAGAACAGCCATTTACACACAAATAAAAATAAATAAATAAGGAGAAAGGAATACCCTTCCTTTGGTACAGATTAAATAAAGAAAGCAAGTAAAATCTGGAGACTCACACAAGGTGATCAGAAAGAAGCAGTTGCACTGCACCTTAGGTTAAGGTTCTGAGTGACTGGCCTGAACCTGGTATCACCGGATGGGGACCTCAATGTCATGCCCATCAGGCCTTGGTGCTGGCCACTGGAAGCATGTTGCTTACATGGAGATAGTGGAAACAAAGGGTTGTGTGTGTTTTGACTCCAAATCCCTTCTCACAAGGGCAAGCACTTGTCCTTATCGACCACAACCTCCAGCAGGGGAAGGTCTGTAGGTGCAGATGAAGACATTAGGACACCCAGGTGGCAGCAGAGTAGTGTACCTCAGGAGACCTTCATGAGGAAAGTGACAGAGGGTGAACCGCCTCTGTTATCAAGGGTTGTGATAGGCTGTTTATGATCCAAGGACAAGAGTGTATTTATGCAATTGAACTTTGCAATTTCCTTATGCACATAGATTGCGGTTTGCATCTGAAGCATTTAAGTGAACATTTTATTTGATGAAGTGTCTATCGTTGGTACATATTGCTGTTGATTTATTGCCTGGGCCAGCCTGCAGTGATCAAAATAACCACACACACACACAGTTAACCCAGTGTTATTTTTCCCCAGCCACTTGGTTTATGTAGGATATAAACGAGCAAAGTAAAGATGCATTATTTTTGGTTATGTCTTAGACATTGTTTTTATTTGAGAGAGGTCACTCTTTAAATGATCATGGTGTGTTTGAAGAGACTAAACTGAAACATGGCCCTGCGTGGTGGTTCATCTGCATTGGCATAACAGTGAGAAGACTTGTCAGCTTTGCATCTAACATTCCTGTGAGGACTTCATTCTCCCTGTTCAGAGTGCATCAGACGTACAATGAAGCATTTGTTCACTTTCTGTAGAGACCCAAGCAGTGGCACTTGGAGACAGACATAGAGGAATCTGGTCAATCTGCTGTGTGGCTGGAGGTGGAGATGGCCAAACTATTTCAGAGGAAAGTACAGTGACAGAAGAAAAGCTAGTTTGTGTTCATTTGTGAGCCTACATGGGGGTGGACGATGCTCTGAGTAATAGGAATGTTGTTTTGCATATTTCCATGTAAAAGTTAGACTACGGCATAAAGAGTAGTTTTGAAATGTAATGTCTCAGCTAACTGTGTTTGCTTTTGCTGCAGTGTGCTGTCTTTTAGGTGCTACAATGATGCTAATGTGAACTTGCTATGAAGTGACGTTGCTTCAGCATTTTATCCGTAAGACTTTGCAGTGCTGTACTAACACTGGCCTTTTAGACTGTTGGTCTTTGCAACTAGCTGACCACCCCCTCATCCCTGCCAGCTTAAGCCTCTGATGGCAGTACAGATGTGTAGGCTATTCTCTTTTACACGCACCAACTACAGGGAATCCCCCTAGATTGCAGATAGACATCTATCTGTGATTATCTGGGGCATAATTCCACTGAATTAGTGTATTTGCTTTAATCTGGTAAGACATTAATGGCATTGAAGAGTATGTGGATGAAAAACCAAGCTCTGTAAAATGCCCCTACAGTGGCCTCTCACTAAGCTGCCCTTTGCAAGGATTAACTGTTAACTCAGCATTTCAGTGGTGATGAAAAAATATGATGTACTTATGACAGCCATTACTCAGTTTACTACATTTTATTGTAACTGTCAAAAATTGATTGTTCTGTTGATCTAAAAAGTTGGTCTTTTTGGTGTGTGAATTTTGAACTCTGAAGCAGTAATCAATTCCTATACAGTTTTTTAAGTGCTATAGTATTTGTATATTAGCAGCTTTTTTTCCACATCCACTTCATGTTGTTATTTGAAACGTTTTTTTTCCCTATTTCTGCTCTCTACCGTCCTTCCTAATGACTGTTATGTGGTCATCTGGATACAGGCTTAAAACTTCACACGCATCTTGGCTCATTGAATTCCTTATTAGGCGCCTGCTCCAATGCCCCATGACCTCTCAGCAGGTCATCTAGTTCTATATAAGCAGCTCACACACAAAATCCTGATATAACCTCTCCAAAACTTGTGGCATCTGCATGTCATTGTGTAAGGTGTCATTTTTTTTTGCAGATTACAACAGATGACCTCTTAAAAGTAGACTGACCAGTTGGATCCAGGTGTCTGTGTGTTTGCAGTTGCACTTTGCTAAATC